GCTCTTAGTCTCATTGATTTGGCTACCTTAGGGCTGCGTTCCCCGTGCCCACGCGGTAGACAATGAAGGATCTGGCCATGTGGGACTTGGCCCAGAAAGAGGCCCGCGCCAACAGATAGGAGTGCATGTTTTTTTTTTTTTTTGAAAAAAGGTAAGCTACATTCTTCTCTCAATTTCACGTCACACTAGCTACCTACCACTACTCCTAATTAAGCAGGTCGGGAGCATCCCCCGCATGTTCTCTCGTGAACACGTTTCTGGCTGCTATGGAGTGCATGCTCTTACCATAAGCTCTGATGTAGATCAGAAAGGAAGAAACAATGGTTATGAAAGGAGGGGACAATGGCACTACCACCAACAGGATTTTAGATGCTATGAGTACCGACCGGACATATCACCTGCGGAACAACAGCATGCACAACACAGACGGTGTCTGACAGGACAAGACAAGCCTAACGGGACGGGACAGCTGGACCACAGGGCCAGGTTGTGCTCAGATATACCATTAGAAGAACTATATGCACACTAATCAGAGCTAAACATAGGGACAAAGGATCTAGAATAAAGGCCTGCCACAGGATAGAGAGTGCATGTTTTGGCACCTCAGCACTGATCGGAAAGGGGGGCTGCACAAAATGGGAATTGATAGAGTCTGTCAGGTCTAAGGGGAGGGGAGAGACAAGAATGACAGCCTGCAATTCTGATAGGGAGCTCCACAATATGTAGAAGAAGTATCTGCCATGTGGCGGCCCGGGGGTGGGGGGGGGGAGAGGTGCTGTTGCATATGTCACTAGGGTTTGTAGGTTGTTCCTAGGGCTTGTCGCTTGGTCCCGGCCACGTGGTGAGGGCGGAAGAGTAGGTGTCTAATCTGACTTTTGCTACTCTTTCATCCTCCTGTAATTTCGTTTTCTCTCTTTTAATTGGTGTTCTCCCCTCCTGAGCGGGTTTTGTTTATTACTGTTATAGGGGAGACACATGCGCTGGCAAGACTTGTTAGAAAAATGCAGAAGTAGAAACCAAACCTTGTCCGGATCTTTCCCCTTCTTACTGTATCAGTATAGTCGTTGATTAGGGCAGGGTGAGGGTCCTAGGGTTTGATGGGCAGTCAATCCTCTCGCTCGATGGCAATCAATGCTGCCCATCACCGAGTGCCTGCACATTTATAACTGTTCAAACAATTGATTACAATGATCAGGGACACTAGTCCCGTTTTCCAGCAGGTGTTGCTCCCCACCAATAGATGGAGCCCTCCCGAGACTGCTACCATCTTCCCCCCAAACATAACGCACCCTAAAAATAAATGTATACAAGCTATATTTCCGGCCAGATACAGACAAAATGAGGGTGCGTTGTGTTCGGGGGAAGACGGTAGTGGTGTCTGCCCCTATCAGCACCCCTAGCATCATCTTGGGTTGTTTTCTTGTAAAAAAAAACAAAACAAAACAAAAAAAAAACAAAGGAGAATCTGGCCCCCACTTATCTAATCTTGTTAGGTTGGCAACCGGCTTAGGATACTTAGTATATGGAGTAGTCAGGGGTTTCACCTGCCAAATTCGTTCTTTTTTCTTTTCTTTTCTTTTTCTTACCACTAGTACCTTTGTCGGTTCCGAAAATAGTGGGCCTCCGACCTTTTTTTTTTTTTTTTTTTTTTTTTTTTTTT